GGGTCACTGCTCGCTGTAAGCATTTCATATGCAACTCTTGTTCCAGTGTCTGAGATTAATACCAGGCTGGTGTCAATCCCTTTGATTTGACCATCCTAATTGTACCTAGAGGGGAAAGAATCATTTCTCCTTATAGAAGATTAGAAAGAACAAGATCGGTACAGTTAGTTTAGACTTTTTGTGCTTTTGTATAAGCAGAAGAAACCAATAAAACCACAGACTCACGCAGTAAAAAAGAGACCAGATAGTATGAACAGATGCAGAACCAATACAAAGACCTAGCTGAAGTGACAAATGATATTGACCTGAAGGAAAGAAAATGGTTCTTAGAAGCAGAAGCTAAAGAAAATTCAATGCGGGGGGGGACTATTTTCCAGATATTGCTATTCCCCAAACTGGAAGTCTTATCTGATTTGCACTTCTGGCAGAAGGTAGAGTAGGCTTTAGTTTGACCTAAACTACAAGGAAATTGCTGACTTTCTTTTAAGGCCTCTCTTTCGAACAAAAACAAAAGATGAAAGTAAAGGATGATAAAAAGAGTGTGTGCCAGGTAATAGTTGCTCCCATAGTGCCACTTGCTACATCTACAACTCAGAAGAAAACCCTTTCTTGCACTAGAAGAAGAACTACTTAGCTCCACTAAATAGAAAGTCACCTTAATATTACCAGAATTTACCATGGCAAGTGATGAAACTAGTGGAATGGAGCTGTGATCTCATACACATACAGAAAAACCCTGGAGATCTAGCTAATATAATTGAATACTCCCTACAATTAGTTTATCAATCAATAACTCACTACAAAAGGAATGCCTTGAAGTTCAATGTAGATGAAATTTATGCATTTCCTAAGACTGTAAGGACAAGAAGAAACTGGATGGAGGGAGACTGGAGATATGGGAGTGGTCCTGAACAGCCTAAATTTTAGAGAATTAATTTCTCTGCATTAACTGTTTGGGTGTTATTGACTTAAAGGTCCAAATGCCTTTTTCCCCATGACTTTTATGGAAGAATTTGCCAAACTAAGTTAATTCTAAAGTCCGAACAAGAATATGATCAATACTGCTTCACCATGAACGTTCCAAAACAAAGATGACTCTGCTTCTAATCAGTGTTTTTTTCAAAGACCTGCATTTTGATTTAACACTAATTTGAAGGAGGATTCCTCCTAGTAAATAATTATCCAATAAAAAGAGTATACCTTAGAGTAGAATGATACCTTTATGCTTAAAAAAATCCCGGCATCTATGGATCCTTTGGCCTAAATCCTCTTCTCAAGTGAACTCTGAACTCAGGACTGTCTAAATAGTGACACGGTCTTTCACTTTTTTTTGCAAGGTGGGGGTAAGTGAAAGGAGAAAAAAGTGTATAAAGTATTCCTCCTACAGACCAGAATGCTCATAGTCTCAGTGAAAAACACTGTCCTTTTAAAAAGAAAGCAAGGAGAGGTTTAGGGAGCATCCACTGTATCATTACGATCAAATAAACAGGCATCTATCCTTTACAAATGTGACTTTTCATTGCCTGAAAGGTCTGAGTTTTCACACAGTGCCCAGGCTACCAGCAGGGAACAACTGAAGTAATTGGCAGCCCAGTGAAGTTAATAAATCATTTGCCCTACGTGCCACAAAAGCAGACCTACTTCACTGGAAAAAAGTAAGGCAAGAGGAGCAGAGAAGCTTTATTTACTATGAACGCTAGAAGCTTATTCCATCAAAAACGGCCTCTTTAGCAGCTATAACTATTTCTGCTGTAAGTAACATGGATATGTGTCAAATCAGAGCCAAAAATCCTTTTAGAATTCAATAGTATTTAGGTCATCTGCACTCTATTGACAGGCACTGAACTCTGAAACCATAATGATGTAGCTCAGCAACAGTGCATGCCTTCCCACTAATGAGGCACTTTTTCCATGAATAATGAGTATGGACATCAGCTCTGTTGCCAGGTACATAACATAAACAAAATTTAACACATGGCTTTTGGTAAAGCAGTGCATCTGCTTGCAGAGGCTGAGGTTTTGTATAATGTGATCCAACTTTTTAGCCCAGGGTGGGGGCAGACTACTCAAGGAAATAATTTGTTCATACGTTATCAAAATACAATAAATCAGGTTTGGTCTTAGTCAAAAAAAAAAAAGGCAGTGGATTGGGACCAACAGAAACTGCAGATAGGAAAGTATAAATGAGTTCATTGTTTTACGTTGCAATAAATCTTACAGCACATGAAGTTGATGAGTTCTAAAATGAGCTGAGATTCCCGGAGATGGACCTTCTGAGACTCATGAATCGTAAGAGTTATACTTGTTAAACCTGTGTTTGCTGAGTCCTTGGGCATACATATTGTCTGCACACACCTTTGTTTATATATGGCAAAACATGAGTTGAAACTGCATGAGTTCAAACATAGAAGAGTTTTATTTTGAAAAGGCCTCATCTGTTACATTTACAACCTGAATTTTGACTATACCAGATGGTTTTGAGAAAACAAAATACACCTTCAAGTTTTATCATCCTCCATGACACATAGTGCCACCATGGCATTGTTTACATCTAGGGATTAGTACTTTAGTATGCAAAAATAGAGCTGGGATAGGAGTTAAGTCAAGACTTTAATTCCCTGTTCTGCCACAGTTCTCACTGCTATCTCAGAGGACTATTATGAGATAAGTATATTTAAGACAGGGAAGGGCTGAAGCCCTATCGTGCCTGTGGCATGAAAGCGGGCATTTCTATTTGTTTTCTTCTTAATGTATCAAAATAAAGTCCATGGGGATCTACATCTCTGTCATAAGAATTACTGAGATACAAGGAGCTACAGGAAAGACCTCTGATTTTACCATTTCCACTGTAGGTTTTTTTCAACCTAACTAAACATAAGCAAGATCTCTCCTAGAGGCATTGCTGCTAACTGGATGGCAGTACTCAAAGGCCTGGGTGACCTTCTGATCCCTGCTTACAACGATTTGACTTCATAAAGCATTACAAACATTTCAGTGTCTGTTACCAATATTTCTTGCAACTAGTTGCTTATTTATCTTTTCTTGAACAACCTTAGCTCTGCCACAGTTTACAGCAGGGGACTGAAATTCGGTTGATTCGGTCAGTATCAGGCCGATGGCCGATTGCTGTCCTCATTAAAATTCATCTCAATTTGCCAAGTTATAAGATGTTAAAAGAAAGCAGTCGGCACATACTCAGCAGAAGCTTCTGCAGTTTTTTCAGTCATGCTCTCCAAAGACTCTTTTCTCATCAAGCACACTTGTCTCCTTTGTCCAACAGACATATGGATCATCCCCTTGCCACTGCACCATGTGACAATATGGGGCCAAGTATTCAGGCTGATAGCAAGAAGCCTCTGTCTCCAAGGGCTCTTACTGTTCTGCTTTCTGGCACCCAGGCAACGCAGCACAGAACGTCAAATGAAGAGGAGACAGAAGCCACAGGGAAAAGGGTAGATGGAAAAGGAGTGTGCTAAGACCGGGGTTGGAAAGTGAGTAAGGAGATATATGATGACTGTCACAGCCCTGAAAAGGAGACTGGAATTGGGAGTTAGGAGAGGTGGAAGCATGGAACTGGGAATGAATGGTACTGGCTGAACTAGGAGTCTCTGGCAGGATCTGGGAGCATTAGAAAGCTGAAACTCGGCAAAAGAGCAGAAAGTAGAAGACAATTCAGTAGACAAATGGGAAAAGAGATCAACTAAGGGCAGGCTGGAGGGGACGCTAAGTCTGTTCAAAGAATAGCAGAGAAAGGTGAAAAAAAGACGTCCAAAGTGCTGTGGACATACGTGCCAGTGTCCACTTTGATGGTCATTTATACAGTAGTATCTCAGAGGGTCTCCTTTTCCCTTTTCAAAAACTTCGGAAATTACAAACCTTAAAAATCTTCATTCAAAGATCACAAGAAAGGCTGTAAGATCTAGCAAGTAAGAACACTTAAAAGACCATTAAGATCAAGCTAGAAAGAGGTGAATATCAAAAATAAGGCTACCTGTTCCACTTAATTCAGACATTTAGTTCATGTGTATGATATTGTTACATGATTACTTAATACTCTTTTCATTAATTCCCTTGCCATACTTTAGCACACAGCATTCATTTCTGAGAATGAATGAGGACTGTGTAGTAACACAATAGGAAACTGGTGGCTGTAGGGGTCCTGACTCATTTGTTGCAGAACTTGGACTGTGGATAGTGAGTAAACCAGGAGATTGCACAAAAAGAATGAAGAGGGGTACTGTGATATGAATGCTGCCCAAGAGAACCGAATTTTATTCCTGCTTCTGCCAAAAAGCTTCTACACAATGCAAGGAAAACCCATTTAACTTACACCAAATAAGGTATGCCAGTTGGTGGTTCTTATTCTGTCCATTCTCCATTTGAGACCATGGAGACTGAACTAAAATGCAAAGGCTACAACTGAAGTCAGCAGGAGCTGTGATTTGAACATAAAAAGTGATGTAACACTGCATAAACTTATGTGTACTGAAAAATATTGAGGTCACAGGTTGAGAACTGAAAATTACTGTGAAAAGTCCACCTAGACTTCTGAGCTTTTCAACTTTTCCCCACAAAATATGAATTCTACCAGTTGAAAGGCTGTTGTGAAGATAAATTAATGTTTGCAAAGCACTCGTATGCTACAAAGTTAACATTCATAGAAAAGTCCACAAGGGAACTGAAAATTCTTCCTTCAGAGAAAGGTTTGAATAGCATGTAATAAAATGACTGCAGTACCTAAGCAGTCATTGACACTAACAAAAAGCAAAGAAAACACTGAAGAGCTGCTAGTAAGTGAGTTCCATTAGCCTGTACAATGAATGAAGCGCGATTTGGTAGAAAAAAACAATATGTAATCTTGGTGTTATGGACTGCGTAAAGGGTTCTATGAGGCTTGTGCAAATCACCTTAATGGTATTTCCCAAATTTTAAGTGTTTGACTTAGAAACACTGCTTCTGTGTGCAATATATAGATAAAATGTAAATACATATGGACTTACCATCATACTTCGCTAAAACTGCCTGGACATCTGCATATGCTTGCAATTCCAGCAGAGCTTCTAGCAGATTTTCATGGATGTTGAACATGCTGAGCAAAGGAAACTCCTTCATCAACTAAAATCAATAACATATGAAAGGGTTAAACTATTAACATGTGAAGTAGATTCTTGTTCAAAATGTATTGAAACAACCAACACCAAGTTAAAAATCCCCAGTTCCTCCTGTTGTTGTCTCTTTCGCAGAGATCATTAATATGTCTGAAAAATTTCTGTAACTCTCAATGGACTCTGGATCAGGCTTCTTGACAAGACATGCTTTGCATAAGATATAATTAGCAAAATCCAAGAACAGAGCTGTCTGAATGTGTCTCTTCAATCAACAGGGTTTCTTCTTCAAAGTGAAAAATGTTATCTTACTGTACTGGAAAAGAATGTTCAATAAAGTAGCTCCTGCGTATCACTAGTAAGCAATCTAGCACTTCCCTATTAGTAGAAAAAGCAGAAAATACACTGAAGAAAATCAGAATACAATCATATGAGAGAAATTTGCAAATATGCAACTGTATTTAGTAAGTATGTGTTATCAGCATTTATAATCACAAAATCTTTTAAACACAATTGTGATTGCTGCCAATGCTGGCTATAAGAAAAAAGAAAGGCAGCAACAAAGGGAAAGGTAAAGATTATACAAATCTAACACAAGATATGTATTTAAAGAATCCATGGTGCATGACGAGATTAATGAAAATGTGTAGTTACACTAATCTAATCCTCTTAGATCTAAGTGCCCTTATTGTATGAATTGACCCTTTGAGAGACCCAGGGATTTGTTCTTATACATCCTGACTTTAAATGCCTGCATAGATCTTAACGATTGAAGCTGCCATTCTGCTGCATCTCCTTTATGAAGTGATAGTTATCAGAAGCAACCATGTTCCTTCACTGTACAATTGATTACAAAATAATTTTTAATGTCAGAGTTCGGGTCTCTAAAGAACTGAAGTGTTATGAGATCCTTGCTTCAACTGCGTTCTCTTTATGGCTGTTCTAGTTTAACTGCCTACATCATGCACACTCAGCACAACAAAGTCGCACGCAGCATAACATTAGGGTAGCTGATATTACAGCTGTGCTTCAGGAACTTCCTGTGAATACTATCATTTCTAATTTCTCTTTAGGTTTATAGGAAGAGAAACAGTAAAACAAGCCAAGCAAAGAAAATTAAGCAAGGTGAGCCTTGCTCAATTTGAAAACACCAAGCTAGATTTTAAAACTCTGTGCACTTAATAAATCTGTCTTTGAAGATACAGAGAAACTGATGAGAAGCAGCAAATACTAGTCTCACAAACAGGTAACAAACAAACATAAGCCAGGATGGAAACAAAAGCAGGACAGACTCACTAAGAAGTTTAGAAAATGAGAAACAGGTAATGCCCTAGAGCTTCTTCATTCTGTTAAGGCTTTAACAGGAGAACAAAGCATAGAGGGAGAATTTCGTCCTCGTGTTAACTGTCTGGCATTAGCTAATGTAAGAACTATTTTGTCCTTAAGGGCACATAAGTGATAAGTCCGTCAAAATTTGGCTCTTTGGACAGTACTGACTTTCCTGCATTTTGACGATTATTACTATATCAAAAATGCAAGGAGAGCAATGTTTTGTATATCTCTGATTATACAAATCTCTGGTGAGAATCATGATTGCCCAGATATCAGCTGAAAGAGCTCACTGAATTTGTGATGGCAGTGGGATGGGAATGGCTGGTTTCAATGGCAGGAGATGAACCTGTGAAAGAGAAGAACACAAAAGCGCACAGCCTGTGAGCTTTTCTCCTTCTCCAGTTTTTCAAAAAAAGGGATCGCAGACCTTGGTGTACATCTGCATAAATGGGAGATCTGACAATAATGAAAAAAATATTTAATTTCAGTCATTGCTCACCAACAGAAACAACCACAGGTGAAAATTCACATAATTGGATTAATCAGTTAAGGATCCAGCATAGAGTCATCTATTCTTCATTTTCATCCTTACTCACTGTTGCATACTTAACAGAGGAAGCTACTACTTGGCAGGAAAAAGCATGACAGAATCTGGCCCTACGTAAATAGTGATTTAAAGTTCAGAACGAACATATTGCAAATAAACCCCTCCAAGGGATTAAGGAAGATTATCCCTGTTCATTGAGAATGAATAATGGCTGGCAAAATAACATCCCCTCCATCAGAGAAGAAAAGGGAAGAGCTGCAGCTAGTTATAGATGTCCTGTGGCCAGTAAATGTTCTTCTTGCTCTGGTTCACTTTACTTCTCACTGACATCACTCACTGATTTTTTTTTTCCTATTTTAATTAGGTTCTGTCAGAGTGATAAACCTTGCTTCAGACAGCAGCAGACTAAAGGTCACTGTCTGGACTGCTAGGCCTCCAAAATGACAAGTGTTAACAAAGGTTTCATCTGGGAAAGGTCAATTGTGAAGCAATCCAACCCAGTTATAATGAACTCAGTGGATGCTGTAGCTAGAAAAATAAAACACCTCCAACTAGCCACTCAATTTACTCTGACATTGACTGTGCACAAACCAGAGTATGCTCGCCTTCAAAAAAAAAGAGAGAGAGAGAGAGAGAGAGACTGAGAAAAGAAAGAAGAGGACATAAGCTCATTTCTCTGTCTTCTCAGGATGTAGATTACATAGCTTTTGATGTAAACTATTTTCAGTCACAGTAAAAAGTTGGTTTTTGAGAAACTTCCTTGAAAGTAAAACTACTTAGGTGGAAGCATATTATGACAGGTCATCTTTCAGGCCTCACAGTGAAAGCAAACACTATGCAAGAAAAAAATGCCATAGTGGTTGCAACACAGGCCTGCTGGATGTTCAGTGCAGGCCAAATACTGCATCATTCTGAGGAGCAACGGAGATGGCCTGTGAGCCTGCTCCTCTCTCCTGCCTCGCAGCTGGGGAGAGAGGCTGGCTCACAGTCCATACGGAGAGGTAAAGAAGGGCATGCTCTCCCCAGCACTGGCCTAAGAATGCACCTGCAGCTCCTCAGGCCCTCGCAGCACCGCCTTCTACTCTGGACTCTAGTTTAAAGAGACCTAGACCTTGCTCTGTGCCTGAAACTCAGTTTATCAATTTTAATTCACCTTCCATCTTTACAAGACAAATGCTTTCACTTTAGTGGTAACCACCACACTTAAGGAAAAGATCTTCTTATCATCTTTAAATGACACTGGTCAGGATGTTGGGACTAATAATTTCACTGCAAAATTCCGGTTCATTGGATTCTCACCTTTTACAAAAGAGCTGTACTGCACTGAGCTAAGCCTATCTGCACACCATATGAAAACAGATGCAACATGGCTACAAAGGTATTACTTTACAGTATAAAAACAAAGCCACATCTAATAAGGATATACAAACATATCATAGTGTATCATCATAACATATGTGATTAAACATATCATAGTAAATATATGTTCACGAGACTCTTATTTTGAACTTGCATTGGTCAAAATATTTTCTAGTGATCAAATTCAGATCTGAGACTAAGCCCATATTCTGCTCTAATTGCTTTGCACATTTTGCGGGAAATATATACATATGTAGAAAGTGGGACTGCTTTTTGTTAAAAGGCTCATTGGTTACATTGTAAATATACAGAAATAGTAGCTTTTGCAGATAATTAATACTTCTTTAAATGTTTTAGATAATAATTACTATTTTGGGAGTAAAAGTTAGCAGAAAAATTCTGGAAATACATTTGACATGATCGGATATCTTATCAGTAGTCCCGGGAGGGTCATATTTCCAGACTCACCCCAATCCATATTGCAGGGCGTAGGTTCAATGATTTTGTGATGGATTTGCAAGGGTGATGATCACAAAAAATGCTGTATGGTACAAGGAAATCCCCATCTGATTTACTGGACAAAGAACAATTTTTTCTCTCAAAGAAAATTAAGAGGACTCCCTTCCCTTAGAACATTTCATTCATCAGCATTTCCTCATTTAGATATAATTTTTGAAACATTTTCAAGTAACATAGCTTTAACTGTTGCATCTGGTTTTCTCCTTACAAAAGCACTAACCTCGTGCATCAATTAGCAATGATATATTATTCGTGCAGAAAACAGCTTTAAGTCACAGTTCATGTCTACAACTAGTCCATGGGACTCAAGGGAATAGAGAGGTAGACAAATGAATGATCCTGTAAATAACCTGGTGTTGACACGTTTATCCTCCACTTGCATTATGGCTGTACGCATGGTCATGTTTTTTACCTGCAGTGAAAGCAAACCACTTGTTGCTTATATGAATATCTTCCCAACAAACAAAACAATTTGAATCCTTGTGTTTAGCTGAATACACTCATAAATATGAAAAGTGAATTCATCTTAAAAGAAAAAAAAAAAAAGCAAATGAGAAATTCAGTGTAAATAGCGAAGCTCTTCCAATCACAACTCCTAGTAGATCTGTTCTCACCACAGGCATCTGAAATGGTAAAATCTCTCTCCTAAAAGATGGACAACTGAGACTGCCATTGTCCAGGTATGACTTTCAACCACCTTTGACGAATTAAATAAACAGGAGGATAGCACCGTTATTTTCACAAGTGCTTTGTGTAAGTTGCTTTCTGTTATATGACTTGTGATCTGTAAGAACTGTTAAATGAACAAAATAGAAAAGGCAAAGCACTGTGTAGTTTCCGAGCAGAAAAAAAAAAAAGAAATCCTCATTTCCCAGGGCCTCATCATCTGCAGCTGAATTTTCAGGTGTCTAAGCTGTGAGCCCAAACTGAAACTTCCGCTGGCCTTGAAGCATTCACATGTCATTCCATGCAGACTCCCTGATATCTAGTAGGATGCACTTATGCTTAAATTTTTCCCCAGTTGGAGGACTAATAGGATCTTTCTTCTTTATTCAGTTACTTTTCTCATAAAAGCTGAAGAAATGCAGTATCTTTAATGTTTCTACTCCTCTGTCAAAGTTGGTTGAAATTCAATGATGGATCAAATGTTCTTCATGCAGATAGATAGATAAACAGGCAAGATTTGATTGCATAAGCTTTATTTCCCCAGAAAAACAGGGAAAAATTTTCTAGTAAAGAGCATCCTAATAAGC